ATAGTTCTTTAATAAAAGTCTGGGTTCTTTAATATAAGTCTGGTAAAATTCAGCACTAAATCATCTGCTCCTGGGCTTTTTTTTTTGTTTGTTTGGAGACTTCTTAAAATTGCTTCATTGTTATTCATGTTCTAAGTTTTTTATATCCTCCTAGTTCAATTTTGATAGGTCATATGCATTTAGAAATCTGCCCATTTCTTCTAGACTTTTCAGTTTATTGGAATATGATTTTTCAAAATATTCCCTAATGACTTTCTGGATTTCAGTGGTATCTGTGGTAGCATCCCCTTTTTTGTCTCTGATTTTTATGTATTTGGGTCTTCTCTCTTGGTTAGTTTGTCTAAGGGTTTGTCAGTCTTGTTTATCTTTTCAGAGAACCAGCTCTTTGTTTTACTGATTCTTTATATTGTTCTTTTAGTCTCTATTTCATTCTATTTCTGTCGTGATCTTTATTTTTCTTTTTTTTCTGCTTATTTTTGTTTTACCATATTTCACTACATAATCATTGCAGATTTTATGCTCTATTTTTGTGAAAAAAAGTAGGATACAACCATTATGTAAAGCTTTTTAAAAAATGTGCTGGAGGGCTGGGGATATAGCTCAGTTGGTAGAGTGCTTGCCTCACATGTACAAGGCCCTGGGTTCAATCCCCAGCACCAAAACAAACAAACAAACAAACAAACAAATAACAAAAAATAATGTGCTGGTATTACTTAAATATCATTTATCACTAAATGTCTTTGGTGCAAGATTAGGATTCATAGAATACTCATGAATACATATTAATATTGTGGTGATGCTTATGCGGTGAAATATAGTAATTTGTTCTTGTTTTCCTAATATCTTAAGATGATGCATCTTTAGATGTAGGCACTCATAGCTATAACTTCCCTCTTAGAACTGCCTTTGAGGCCAAATGTTTTTTCTGATATGCAGATGCTGATTCATAATGGGGGGTGGCTAGGGAAGAATGGAGGAACTTTGTATTGGGCAGAGGAGAGAAGGGGAGGGGTGTGAGGGTGGAAAGGACAGTGGAATGAGATGGACATTATTACCCTATATACATGTATGATTATACTAGTGGTGTGACTCAGCACCATGTACAGCCAGGGGAATGAGAAGTTGTGTTCCATTTGTTTGCAACATGTCAAAATGCATTCTGCTGTCATGTATAACTAATTAGAACAAATAAAAATAATAAAAGAACTGCCTCTGATAGTACATTATGTTTCCATTTTAATTTGACTTCAGAAATTTTACAATTTCATCCCTTATTTTTTCAGTGACCCACTGTTTCTTCAAAGTGTATTGTTCATTTTGCATGTGTTTGTGTAATTTCCCTTGCTGTTGACTTCTAGTGTCATCCCATTATGATCCAATAAGATGCAAGAAATTAGTTCAGTTTTTTTTGAATTTGTGAAGACATGCTTTATGGTCTAATGTGTGAACTATTTTTGGAAAAAGTTCCATGTGCTGATGAAAAGAATGTGTATTCTACAGTTGTTGAATAAAATATTTTGTAGATTTCTGTTAATCTACAAAATGTTAATAATACTATAGATCCATTTGATCCATAGTATAATATAACTGATGTTTCTTTGTTATTTATCTGTGTAATCTATCTGTTGGTGACAGTGAGGGTATTAAAATCACCTGCTATTATTGTACTAGGAGTGAATTCTCCCTTTATGTCCAATAGAGTTTGCCTTATAAAATTGGCAGCTCTAATGTTTGGTGCATATGTATATATTTATAATCATCTTATTGATGGATTGTTCCCTTTGTCAATGTGTAGTGACCTTCTTTGTCTTTTCTAACTTATTTTGGCTCATAGATTACTTTGTCAGATATGAATCACTATTCCTACTTGCTTTTGGATTTTCTTTACATGGATTATCACTTTTCATCTTTTCACTTTCAGTCTGTGCATATCTTTGTCAGTGAGGTGAGTTTCTTGCAGGCAGTGGATTATTGGATCTTGAATTTTAATCTAATCACATATCTGATCTGTGTCTTTTAATTGGAGAATTAACATATTTGCTTTCAGGATTATTATTGAAAGATGTTGTGTGGTGTGTAGTTGGTTACAGTTATGTTGTTTTTCTTCTGTTTGTTTTGAATATTCTATGTTCATATTCTCCTGTCTTACTCATCTAGATTTTTCGGTTATCTGTATTAATAATGTTTGATTATTTCCTAATTCTCTGAAGATTTGTTTTCCCCTTATTTCAAGATTTATTTCTTTCCCATGCTGTCCTGATTGTGTTTATCATTTTTCATTTTTGGATGTAGGAAGTTTTTGGTTTCTTGGGTTTTTTGTTTGTGGTGCTAGGGATTGAACCCAGGGCATCATGCCTGCTAGGCAAGCATTATACCACTAATCTTCATCCCTAACCCCCTCTTAAATAGCTTCTGTAATGCAACACACTTGGAACCACTTCTCTCCCTCTGGCACTTCTAATAAAATCCACCAGGTATGGAGGAGAGGGGTAATGGGTCACAGCTGCAGCTTGTTATAATTCCTCTCAGGTCCCCCCAGAAGGTTGGGCAGAAAAGCAAGCTGTGCTCTGTCTTTCCCAATGAACAAGTTAAGGGAATGTTCACCACACCTGAAGTAGATTCTCTCTGGAGGCTTTATAGACTGTGCACCCTGGTTACGGTAAATGTCGGCGCTGCGCTGAGCCCTTCTTACATTACTACATTTTGGTGAGTGTGGTGCTGTACAGGTATATATTTGCTCTGGAGGCTTTTATGTTGTGTTCCCTGAGGTGAAGCAAATGTCCATGCCTTTGTGGATCCACAGAATACCTCTAAGGGTGAGGGGAATAACTGTACCATCAAGTTCTGTCTTAGAAGGGTATGGGAACCAAGCATTTTGCTAGTCTCAATCCTGGTGCCTTCAGATTTGGTCCCCATGTGAAACAATACATGACCAGTGGCACTATATGGCACAGAGAGCAGGATTGCTGAATGTCTGTGTGCCCTGCCCCAGTCCCAGCCTACACTCCCCCCGCAGCACATACCTCTCAGTGAGCTTTTTATCAGGGACACTCCTTCAAGCCCTGTCACGTGTGGTTGCTGCCTCCCCAATGTGATGAGGTGTTCACTGGGTCCCTGAGATGTGATTTTGCTAGGTTTTCTGACCCCCCTAGCAGGTTAGTCTCTAACCATAGGACCCTCTGCAAGATGGCTCTTGGCTATAGCATTCTGAGGGTTTGCTAAGAGATGCAGTGAGTTCCTTCTCTAAAGCTAGCTTTTTATGCAAGTCATCTATTTATATAGACTATTTATTTGCAGGGTACAGCCTTCTGCACCATGCTATGTGACTCTTTCACCTTTATCCCTTCAGAGGGGACAGTACCCTTTCCCCACTAAGCTGCTGAGTACCAGGAGCTGGGATATTCCATTTCTCCTGCTTTGCTCTTCTCCGTACTCTACCGTGTTGTTTTCTTTCTTTTTTTGTACTGGGATTGAACTAAAGTTGCTTTGAACTCTGGATCTTCCTGCCTCTGCCTCCCAAGCTGCTGGGATTACAGGCATGCACCAACACGCCTGGCCATCAGGTAGTCTTCTGTGCCATCAATTTCCAATGCTTATCCATGGTTCCTTATCTCCACCAGCAGCAAACTACTGTCCACTGTCTCTGTTTTGCTATCTTTTTGGGGCCGGGATACCAAGAATTGAACTCGGGGGCACTCAACCATTGAGCCACATCCCCAGCTCTATTTTGTATTTTATTTAGAGACAGAGTCTCACTGAGTTGCTTAGGGCCTTGCCATTGCTGAGGCTGGCTTTGAACTCACGATCCTCCTGCCTCAGCCCAGGGATTATAGGCATGCCCTACTACACCTGGCTGTTCTGCCATCTTGAAGCTCTGTCCATCTTAACCATTTTTAAATGTTTAGTTTAGTAGTGCTTGGTAAATTCACGTCACTATGCATGAGATCTTCTGAACTTTTTCATATTTTGAAACTGAATTTCTAGACTCCCCATTTTAATCTTGGCTTTCCCACTAGCTAGACAGGCTATTCCCTTTATCATTTCTTGCTTTAGTTTTCTTTATTTTGCCTTGATGTGCATTTTCTGAGCTCCTCCCATGATTTAGTCACTATACTGGGGGAGTTAGAAGTTGACAGAGCAGTAGCAATGATGCAAAATTCCCTTTTGACATTTATATTAGGTATGTTAAAAGTGTTCAGGTGGGGGGCTGGAGCTCAGTGGTAGAGTGCTTGCCTAGCACAGGTGAGGCACTGGATTCAATTCTCAGCACCAGATATAAATAAATAAAATAAAGGTCCATTGACAACTAAAAAAACATTTTTTTTTAAAAAAAAGTGCTCAGGTGAGCGTTTTCTCTCATTTGGAAGCTAGAGAGAGGAAAAGGATCTAATGGAAATAATAAGGGAGACCAGCAGAGTAGAGGACGGGGATTAATAGGGAATGAGAAAAGGAGGGCATGGAGAAGTACTGGACGACAACGTCTACCAAATTATGCTGTGTCCAGTTTAAATATACCACAGTGAACCCTATAAAAAAAGGGAAGGTAACTGGGGAATGAGATTGATCCCACTATTAGGTATAATTATAATGCACCAATAAAAATAAGTAATCATGTGAATAGTGATTATAAGGAGATTTGCAAGCCTGGAATGATATGAAGTACATTAGCTTTTGCTTGGCTGGTATGTATCTCAATTGCTGTATGTGTTTGTGTTTTAAATCTGTACATATCAGGAGAAGTAAATCTCTTCTACATTCTCAGTGGGATGGGATGTTAATTTTCAATTTCTGTAACCAGAAATGCATAAGCTTCTGCTCTAGCTAATTATTATAACTAAGTTTTTTTTGGGGGGGGGCAGCCTGCAGAAGTATGGCATCAAATCATCTTTTTGGCCATGTATGTCCCCTGCTCAAACAATTTGCTTCTAAATTGTTTTCTTTTTTTCCTCTGTATGAACAGAGGTCATGCAGTCATTATTTTCTTTCTTTCTTAAAACCAGGATCTATTAACAAAGGCCCGATTTGTGATATTACATGGACACAGGCTTGCAGCAAATCACCATTATGCACTTGATTTAATCTGCCAGAGATGCAATGAGCTACGTTACCTTTCTGATATTTTGGTTAATGAGATCAAGGCAAAACGGATTCAGCTTAGCAGGACCTTCAAAATGCATAAACTCCTACAGCAGGTAGTGTGATGGGAAATGATCCGTTTCTGAAAAAGAGTAAGTTTATTCTTAGGTTCTCCTGGCCTGACATAAATTGCCTTTATGGCACACTTTTTATCTTTTCAGAGGCTATAGGATCAGAGTCTGGTATAGCTGTGAATTTAATTTTCAAAGGGTCTTAAGGACTGAGTTTGATTATGGTTTTTCAGTCTATCTATTTACTGAAACAGTATTTGGCAGATTTGGTACAGTACAAATTTTGCCCTCTGTTCTGAATATCAAGATTGTGGTGGTAATGGCTTCCTTTCTACTTTGGGTGTATCTCTGAAGACTCTGCTGGTGACAGTTTATGCTCAGAACTTTTAAAAGTCTGGGGAGCATTTTCTATAGCTTGAAATTCCTTTCACATTTTATAGTACAGCTCTAAAAAATTAAATAGCGACTGGAAAATACTCCTCCATGGCTTGTGGATCTGAGCCCTTTTCTGATTAGGCAATGAATTGAAAAGTCACCATACAGATCTGGCATTGTCAATTGAATGTAAAATAGGAGTATCACTTACAGACATCACATCTGAACACAAACATTTTGATTTGTACATCTTTTCTGGTAAGGAAACATTTATTCTTGTCCTTTGCAATCAATAAACATTTATATTACACTTTATAGTTTGCTAGAAGTTTCATATTTCAGTTATTGACTTTGGGAAAATAGTGTGCAACTAAAGTGTTAGTATTGAGAAAATGGCCAGACCCCTGCTGCAGAATAAATTACTTGTTATGAAATAAATGCAGTGCTTCCTAACCTTGACTGTGCATCAGCAATACCTGCGGAGCTCTGTAAAAGTATAAATGTCTGACTTATGGCCCAGAGCTGCTGAATTAGAATTTCTGGGGGCAGAACCCAGATATCTTTATCTTTGAACAGCTCTGAAAGCAATCCTAATTCATAGCAGTGAGGGCTGATGACTACTCTCTTAATGGCAAATCTGTTTCCTCTTTATTCATTCATATTTACTTTCTTGATTTTCTCACTAGGCTCGTCAGTGCTGTGATGAAGGGGAATGTCTTTTAGCTAATCAGGAAATGGATAAGTTTCAGTCTAAAGAAGATGCACAGAAAGCCCTTCAAGACATTGAAAATTTTCTTGAAATGGCTCTACCTTTTATCAATTATGATGCTGAAACCCTGCAGTATGAATTTGATGTAATGTTATCTCCTGAACTCAAGGTAGGAGGTGGTTTTGTTTTGTTTTGTTTTTGAAACAAATAAGAAAATCATAGTTATTGTACCATAAGCTCTTTTTTATCTTACAACTAACATTATCAACTTGAATGTGTGCAGTCCTTTTTGAGATTAAGAGGTGATAATAGTACCACTGTCAAGCATCAAAAAATCCAAAGGCAGGGCTGGGGATGTGGCTTAAGCGGTAGCGCTGGCCTGGCATGTGTGGGGCGCAGGGTTCAATCCTCAGCACCATATAAAAATAAAGATGTTGTGTCCACTGAAAACTAAAAAATAAATATTAAAAAAAATCCAAAGGCATGTGCTTACTATATAATGAAAACTAATTTCTTTTGTGAGCTCCAATTTCATTATTTTTAAACTTTTAAAATATACTAGGAGCTCTTACAGACGGGGCCAAAACTGATACAGAATGTTGGGCTCATTTCAGAAGCACTCTACCTCAAGCATCTTTCCTTTGTGCCATAGTGGCCACCTACAGGTGCTCTATGAACACAGATCTGGCTTTCCTACTCTGTTTGAAATGAAGGATTAAAGAAAGGGTCTGGGTATTCTTGGAGGTGGGGGAGCAAGTAGAAGTTGGTATGGTTAAACGGGAGAGCTATAGGTTGGTTTGGTACTGTTCCCTTGGAACATGAGGAACATGAAGTATCACAAATGCTCTTATCATGTTGTAGATAAGAGCATTTGTGATACTATTTGCTGATAAAATGTGTAAATGACCCTAAATTCGGAGCAATATGTAAATCCATGCCTAGCTGCAGATCCTTAGGGTTGCCCCAGAAGATCAGAAACATGCTTTGGCAATAACCAAGAGATTCTCTGGAAGCAACCAAGCTTAACTCTAGTTGCTTCAAAGTATCTAGGAGGGGCAGAAGTATATGTTTTCCATTGGTGGCTCTGAGGAGCCAGGAATACACTGAGAACTAAAGAGCAGACTAAGATGTAACAAAGTACTATGACAATTTGTTCATTTGATTGTTTTTAAAACGATTTTATGACTGCTTGTTAGATTTCTTCCTCATGTTGTTTTGAGGTCTTGGCTCTATATCCATTTGAAGAAAATACATTACTCCACTTTCTGTTATTTTCCTAAATTTCATCTAGTTGTATATTAAACTGTTTTTGTCTGAATGTGAGAAATGTAATACGGCTTTTGTTCTGATCCCATTTCACAATATACTTCATAGAATTTTTATGCAACCTACAGGTTCAAATGCAGACTGTCCAACTCAAGCTTGAAAATATTAGAACTATATTTGAGAATCAGCAGGCTGGTTTCAGGAACCTGAGAGATAAGCATGTGAGGCCAATCCAATTTGTGGTACCTGCCTCTGAAAATTTGATCAGAGCTAGAGCACCATTTTTTCCAACTAAACATGGTAAAAATCTCTTGTATTCAACTTATCTATCTCTGCTTGTCTTACTATTATTTACTTTGTTACTGTTGATGCTGAATTCTTTTTTCAGGCCTGATATATTAAAATTTTATTTTAGCATCTTTGGCCATATTTAAGTGATACTGCGAAAGGCAGGAGTCACATTGAGACTATTGTATAATCATAAAATGTAGTAACAGAATAGTGCAGGATGATGGACATCTCACGAGTGATTATTTCTACCCTTAAAAATGAGTGTGAAAATGTATTGGCATCAAGCTGACACTTTTCTTCGGTAGGTGGTAGAAGGTATATGAAACTAATATACATATGTGTTCATATTACTTATTGAATAAGTAATTTTACTATGTTAAACTATTATGTCCAACTATTACTTGGTTCTTATATGCTTCTGATATGTGAATGGCTTAGATAATAGGATGGTTTTTCTTTTCTAAATAGGTAATGGTGAACAGTAATTTTATTGGTGATTTCCTGTTAGAGTCCACTTTCAAGTTTTAATCTTTGTAGTCTATTTAACTGTGTAACATCCACTTCCTTTCTGAGTTCTGTGGGAGAAAAAATTATCCTTATAATGGTTTTGAACTACTATGAAAACTACTACCCCAAGGACTTCCTTGAGCTGCCTGTAGGGCCTCTTCTGGGACAGTTTTTTTGGTGTTTGAGGCATTAAATTGGTGAAATGGGTGAACTTGGACTAAAATTGTTCTCCCTGATGTAGGTAGAATCAGAGACTTCACTAGTGTAGGGAAACTGCTTTGAAATTCAGAGAAGGCTTGAGCCAGAGATAATGAACATAAAAATACAGAAGTGGATCAGATTAAAAAAAGGTGGTGGAAGCAAGTAAACTAAAATAAGACAATGAAAGTTAAATAGTTGTAGTTATGAAATATACAAATATTAAAAATAAAGCTGTGAGCAATGCCTGAAATGAATAATGCTGCCTATACTGAAGATGCTAGAAATATCAAACATACTGGGGGAAGAAGTTTTTAAAAAATCAACCAAAAAAAAAGGGGAATGGTCATAGTGGGGTAGGGAGGGGGAGCATGGGAGGAATAGATGAACTCTAGATAGGGCAGAGGGGTGGGAGGGGAAGGGAGGGGGCAGGGGGTTGTTAATAATGGTGGAATGTGATGGTCATTATTATCCAAAGTACAGGTATGAAGGCACAAATTGGTGTGAATATACTATGTATACAACCAGAGATATGAAAAATTGACCTCTTTATATGTAATAAGAGTTATAATGCATTCCACTGTTATATATAAATTAAAAAAACTAATTTAAAAATAATTAAAAGTTGAGGGGGGGAGTGGATAAAATCCAAGAGCTGTGAGACTACCTATGAGAACAGGTTGATATTCCTAAGCAAAAGATATACTGTTAGGTATTTCTGGCTCCATTGGCTGTGTGACCTTGGGCAGTTCACTTAACCTTTTTTAGCTTTAATTCCTTGGTCTGTAAAATAAGGACCATAATAACCTCCTGACTTTAAAGGGTTATTGTGAAGACAAAGTGAAAAACATTGTAGATAAGAGTACTCAGTTAAATATCCAAGGGACATTTAATAAACTGTCCTTTCCCTCTAGTTAAGACTTCTTGCTTAATTGTCCTCTGAAGTGGTGCATCTTAGGTTGAAAATCAGGGTTGTGAATAGATTGTCCAGGACCCACTGGTGTCATTAATCATTCAAAGAGAATTTTGTTTTGTATCGTTTCATTTTTCTTTCTCATATTCTTATTTAATTATACTTTCCTTCTGCAGTGGGAATTGGATACTCTTTCTTTCAAGCATGTAAGCTTTTTTCAAAAGGTACACATTTTTATTATATTACTTATCAGTACATTTTCTGAGTTTGAGTACATGTGAAAAACCAGTTTGGCATCTAAATTCAGCAGCAATTCATTCTTGAGTTCTGCCCACAAGGAACTTTTTTCTTTCCATTTTTTTTCCATAATGACTACCCATTATTCTCAGTATTAAACTTACCTTTGAAAATGAACATGTAAAAAGTAACTTATGCTCCTAAACTCAGAATCTGTAATAAAATGACCATTTGAAATAGAAAAAAAAAATGGTAGTGTTAAAGCGAATTTGGCTTTCATTCTTTTGAAAGACTCTCATGCCTTCCACAACCCAGCCATTTGTTGGAAGTAGCTTGGGTTTGCTTTAGTTAAGACTGCCTAATGTATTTATGAGAAAGAAGGCAGCTTAATGAATAAATGGCATGGACACATAAATGATTTTATCCATTATTGACCATGGTTTGTAAATGAAATCAAAGCATTATTTATGCTGCAAACTTTGTTCCTTTTACTACATTGCTCGGAGTAAATGGGGATTCTAACAATCTATTCCAGGCTGTTCTTTAGGACTTTTGCAAAGACAATTATACAAGATTGAACCAAATCAAAATTTGTTTATTTTTCATAAAAATGAGTCAAACTGTTTTTTTTTGGTTGTTCTTTGTTTTTGTTCATTTTTTTCTTTGTATTGAATTGTGTACTTAGCACAGTGACTGGCAACTAGCAGGATATAATAAATATTTGTTGAATTATCAGCAAGGACAGAGAGGAATCTTGGAAGGACATTTTCAGTGAGGGATAAAGCATTAAATGTGGTTTGAGCTTCTAAGTCAGTATCTGTAGTCTAGATCTTTGTTATAAGATCTAGACTTTAGAAATAAGCTTTAGACTTATGCTTACAATTTGCTTCCTTGGATTTCTCATAGGAAACTTGAACTCAGTACACTCCAAATGAATGCCTTTCTCCTGCAGACCTTTTCTTCTTCTGCAAATGGCACTGATTTCCCTAGTTGCCCAAGCTTAGGACCTCAGTTCTTGTTTCTTACTCCTGCCCCACCTCTAATTAGTCAAAAACTCCTACATCCTGTGGATATTTACTCCCTAAGTACCTCTCTTACCCATATACTTTTCCATCCCTATTGCTTTCCTTACTGCCACTTTCCTAGTCCAAACTAACATCCGTGGCTTGACAACTGCAACAGTCTCCCTGTCTCCACACTCCCGCTGCCTGCTTTTCCTTCCTTTTCTTCCATGTCTTACTCACACATATACTCTTGCCTCCCTTTCCCTTGGTAGCTCCTAATTCTCCCTCAAATTTCATATTTCTAGGCCATTTCCTTCAGGTAAGCTTTTTCTTCCCATCTCTTTCCTCCCCTGAGCTAGGTGTTCATGCCATGATAACAGGCCTCCCAGTTCTCTTCAGCTTTAGTATGTATTTCTTCAGCTTTAGTATAATTGCTTGTTTTCTGACTCACTTGCTAGACTATAAGCTCTTTAAGAGCATGGTCTGGGTACACTTCATCTTTGTGCATCCCCAAAGAGCTTAGTGTATCATATGGCACTCCATCATTTTTTATATATTTATATTGCTGAAAGAATGAATATATTTTCACAAAAGATATTTTTATAGTTAGTTGTATATATATTCCTTTTGCCTCTCTTAATGTATTTACAAAAAATTGGTTAGTAAAACCAATGATTATTTCCTAAGTTAACTTTAGAAATAAGTTTGAACCTCTGTATATCAGGTTTCTTTAAAGTGGGGCACAAAGTGGGGGTTTTTTTTGAGAAACTGATTTTACATGGTAATTTCCACCAAATTTGCTATATATTTATATGTGATTATATAATAATCATGCATAAAAATCATATGCACAATAGATTTATATTTTAATAAACGAAAGTGAAGTATACAAAACCTAGAGTGTACAACATTACATCCTTTTCCTGAGTGTGCCTGGCTGCCACTGAGAATTGAAGGATAAACAGTGTTTTTTCTTGCTGAGAAGGGAATCCATGTAACTTGTATGGGGGATAGCCTTTTGGCAGCCCTGGTAACTTAATCTACTCTTTGGACCATGCCCTTGGCTTTTTAGGAACATCTAACTTATTGCTCAATAATACAGGGGCTCACCCTTTATAAATATCATAAATTATTTAAAAATAAAAATTAAAATGTTGAAAAGATGGTGGAATGAGATGGACATCATTATCCTAGGTACATGTATGAATACACATGTGGTGTGACACTACATTGTGTACAAACAGAAATGAAAAGTTGTGCTTCAAAAAACATGCTCAGTTCATAATTTCTTGATCTTTAAATTTATTTTTATGTACACAGTCAACAATAATTCTTCCATCACTGTCAGAAAATGTTCCAGAGATAAATAAAAGAAGCCATAAGTGAGACCTAAAAAATAATAAAGTTTTGAATTTTGATGAAGGGTTTCTTTATTTGGGGAATTTTAACATATTTTTGAAATGTTAGTTTAGATAGTGGTTAGAAACATGTACTCTTAATTGTAGACTATATGGATTTAAACAACTACCTCTGCTTCTTGAACAATATACTGACCTTAGTCCTTATCTATGAAATGAGTATAGGAGTCCTTACCTACTTCCCAGGGAGGATATGAGGATTATAAAAGAGAATGTATCCGTAGGGCTTACATCAGTACCTGGTGCGCAGTAAGTGTCAAATAAATGTTAGATTCTCTAATTTCTAGGATAAATTAGAATTTTTAAAGAGAATTTTTGATCCACATATGATTTACAATCTGATTAAATGTTTACATGTTAGAATGACCATGAAACCTGAAAATATTTACAAGTCTACAAATAATTATGAGCATTAATACCTAGCTTTGTGCTTAGCAAGTAAGAGAATGTTTGAGGAAATGGGTGAGTACTTAGCAAAATCATGCCCAATAAGAAGTTGAAATTGTATGTTATGTCTAACCAATAACTGTCTCCTATAGTGTGATTTAAAAATACTAATACAAACATGTTAGACTATGAACTCTAATTATTTAATAAATTTACATGTGTTTTCATTAAAAGGGTTGACTTTAATTCTGGTTTGAAATTCTTCTTTCATATTTTTGAACCAGGGAAGAAGACTTGGAGACAAAATCAGAGCAACTTAAAGGTAAATATCATCAATTAATTCAAAACTCATTTTATTGCTGTAGTTGCAGAATTGGTATGGGGCTTAAGCCATATTTTTCACTCACTGGACCAATATTGTGCATCTCAAAGCTGATTTTATCTTTGGAATAAAAGCTGCTGCTGCATTGTGTCTAATTGCAGTACTGATATAGTCACAGATGTATGAACAATTTCTCAAGTCCTAGCTCATGTTCAGAATCACTTCTGTAGAGTATTAAGTTCCAGCTTCTCTACACCGCACCTCCATAAACCTAAATAACATCATACCTTTCTACAGAAGGAACTTCCTTTCATGAAGGTTTCCAATCCCTCAAGTATGAAGGGAGGACAGGGGCCAAGTTCTAATGAACCATGCGGAGGCTAACCATGGTTCAGAAAGAAACCCATTAATTTCTTCGTATATATAGAATTCCTCCACCTCTTATCCTCAGTTTCACTTTCACAGTTTCAGTTATCCGTGGTTAATTGTGCTCCAAAAATATTAAGAGGGAGAGGGAAAGATAGAAAAAGGGAGATTCAGGGTGGGGGCAGAGGAGTGCACATAATACAATATATAGTTAAAATTGTTCCATTTTATTAGGTTATTATTAATCTCTTAACTGTGCCTAATTTATAAGTTATATTTTATCATAGGCACATATGTATTGGGAAAAAATCATATGTACAATAGTCCTCCCTTCTCAGTTCTCCATGATAGGCTGGGATCTGCAGAGAATAGTCTCATGATAGCTACAAGAGCCTACATTTTATTTGTGTGTTCTTAATGGTAAATAAGACAAGGACATATCTCCAAGAGGCTATATTGTATGGCATAGGGGTACAAATTGTAGAACTAGATTGCTTTTAATTTCACTTCCATCACTTACTAGTGGTATAACTTTAGGTAAATTCTGTGGATCTCAGTCACCTTATTTATAAAATAGGGATAGTAATATATGACATGAAGTTAGTGTAAAGATAAAATAATATTTTTGAAGCACTTGAACAATGTATGGCATATGGTAATATTCTAAGTTCTTATTTTAATATTGTGAAGCTAGTGAATGGCCTATATTGATGTATACAAGGCCTGGTCAGCATGTTGTACGACCACAACTTACTAGTTTCAAGAAGGAAATGAAGTGAATACCAAATTCTGTAGTCTTCCATGTCTTTCCAGCCTCTTGGAGATATTTCCATGTCTTTCCATTCTAGTGTCAACTCATGACACCTCTTCTTAGATTTATTCAGTTCCATATCCCCAGGGAAAAATCATGAGATGGTGGCTCTGTGCATTTTCTTGGTGGGGCATCCAGCTAAACACAGTTCCAAATTGCATTCTTTTGATTCAAGTAAATTTTAGGAATCCTTAGGTTTTGAAAATAATGTTATATTTCAAATCTTTCCACATATGTATTTAAGAAATCTGATAGGAGTAAATGGAACATACCTACCTGATAAATGTAGTATGCAGTATTTTTAGTGTTAAGTATAATATTAAAATGATGATAATAATTGGTACATTTGCCAGGTGTAACAAAGCATATTCGCAGGAGGGGATATGATAAAAGTGATAACCCTTAGACTTTGACACTTGGGCTTAACTGTCTCATCACCTATTAAATATAAGACTTTTTAAAAAATTAGTCTTATAATTACTCTTTTTAATTTTTTTTGTAGTTATAGATGGACAGAATGCCTTTATTTTGTTTTTATTTGGTGCTGAGGATCAAACCCAGTGCCTCACACATGCTAGGCAAGTCCTCTGCCACTAAGCTAAAGCCCCAGCCCTTAAGCATGTGACTTTGATCATGTTACTAAACCTCTATGAGTCTCATTTCCCCCCATCTTTAAAATGGAAAAAAGAATGCCTTAGCTATCTAAATTTCTGAGGATTGATTACAATGATGTATGTCAAGCACTTAGGATTGTGTCTGCATAATATGTAGAAATTTGTTACAAATGTTCTTGTTCACAAGTATTGCCATGCATAGGCCACATTTTTTTTTGAAATATTTAATTGATAAATCCAGTACTTCATTTTAGGTTTTAGCTGTCATGAAATAATGTTGAATTTACTTAGAGGTCAGGTTTTTGGCAAGCTCAAATGTCTAATATAGGTGGGATCCCAGGAATATATTTTAAATGTTTCTGAAGAGCAATTAACCATCACAAATTTCATGTAGTTGACTCAGTAGACCAATCCAAGTTTTGTAGAGTCTGCAAAAAAAGGCAACAGTTTAGGATCAGGGAAGCCATTTGTAGGAACAACTAACATGTGACAGAGAGGAGACACAGAGATGTACAAGGTATAGCCATTTTGAAAAAGGATAGTTCTGTGTCTCAGTAGCCCTGGAAATGCATCATTAGATTTTATCACATTTAAGTTTTTGATGATATCACTGAGTTATTAAGAAAAGGATCATTTATGTTGTTTGTCTTTGATTAAAAAACTTAAGGAT